ACATGTGCTTTTCTGAAACGCGTATAAAGTTGTTTGTAATTGTTATTTTTTAACAATGTTTGTAATAATTTTTAGTAACTATCATTTAAAAGTTGCACAAAGATATGATCGGAGCGGGGTCTGGACCTGGGACCTCCCGAACACCTTACCGGTGATGTACCAACTGAGCTATCCAGCCCTATGTTGATGGTTACCCATTTTGTCAATGTCTTTGTTCAAGGGTCGCTAGTCTGAAGCTATAAACCCGTACTGCCATGTAGCTAGGAACCACGCCCAAAGTCACGATGCTAGCAAAATTGCACTGCTGTAAATAAAGATATTAGACAATAGGCCTTATTATTTTTTTGTGAGCAATGTAGAAAATCCCTTTCGAAAATAACCAAACGCAGGCTTCATTTTCATTACTGAACAATACACTACAATTATCCCAGATTTGTCATATTATATTGGATTCAAGGTAAATTTAAATAATCACGAGCCACAGTATTTGCTCTAAATGTATTCAAAATATTTATAACTGTGGCATAAGACATGCGATTTTGTACTGTATACTTCTCGGCTTTTATTATATATGCACATTCATAAAAAATAAGTATATTTTATTACCGGATATTGCTCTAGAATTTCCGTGAATGTATTAGTTTTGAGAGGTGTTAGAATCTTTTATCCCCAGCCTTGGATATATTCGCAGACAACTCCCAACCGAGTTTTCTCCCCCCCCCCACCCCCCTTTAACAAAGTTTGTTACTGGAGGTGTCTTTTGACCTTTTTTAGGTTTGGCGCCTGAGAAGGCCGCGTTCTGGGACCGGGCTGCAAACACGTCTGCTCCGGGCAATGACGTGAAGCTTGAGGCACGCTGGCAGCTGGTACCCAGCCGTCCCGCTGGTACCTACTCAGGTGAATCATCTTTCTAATCCGTACTTATACTTGGATGCCGCTAATAATGTCATGGGTAGTTGAATTAAAATTGCCAAATACCACGCTAATCCTGGGTGAAATGTTGTAGCCACGTATAAAGCTGGAGAATGACCCTTCTTTTGTTTTGTTTTGTTTTTAATTACGATTCGGTTTTATTACATGCAGTAGCAGTGCAGTCAAACAAATGGCCAAAATAAGTTGATTTCCTCTGACGTTTGTTAACGATTTTTTACTATGTTCATTCAGGCAAGTAACTAGGCAGTAACCAAAAAAGAGGAAATTCGAAGCTTTACAATAATTTATACGGTGTTTTGACATTTTTACATGTAATGGCGTACATTTGTGAAGTGTAAAACGAGGAATTCGGTTAGTTTTGCGCTTTTCATTACGTTTTTAACTATGGTTTTGCAAAAATGCAATACACCTCGCATTGTTGCATTCCTATAGCAAAGGTTCAATTTCTCTTTGCAATTTCTCAGAGGAATTTTAACTTATAGTTTAGCGACTTCTTGAGAATGGGTAGAACTTTTTTAAAGGGAAGTAGTAGTTTTTTAGACGTTTTAAAGTGAAATTTCTTCAATCGTTAAGATCGAGTTTTCACTCGAGCTTCGACTGAAGTGGTTCATTTATCAGACTATTTTAATCGAAAATGAGAGTGATTTCCACTCTAAAACGTCTAGTCCTTATTTTCACTCTTTGGAATTTAGAGAGAAGGGAGCCACCCCCCCCCCCCCCCCAAAAAAAAAGTTGCCGATTTCAACCAGAAGACAAGTGAAACAACTATTTGAACGATACTTTAGTCTAAAGTATCGTTCAAATAGTCTCCTGACCCCCTTTTCCCTCTACGGATTCGTGGAATCTTTACTACAAGGAAAGAACAGGAAACTAGACCGCCCCTATATAGCGTCAAGTAATGCCAAGTTCCCTCCCGATAGGCAACCATCATTGATGATTGACGACCACTAGTCGTCTCTCCCCACACACCCGGACAGACAGCTTAATAAGGATGAGCTCCGGTGCCCTCTGCCGTCTCTTTTGTCGTTAATATGACACCTGACTGAGCCCCGACCCGCATCCCAACGCCAACACGCCGGCCTTGGGACATTTTGCCAATTTCATTGAGTCAGAATACCCCTTGACGCCGGGATACTGGTGTGGCTGTTGTCTCAGTGAAAGACGGGAGCTTGCAGGTACGACCCGTGTTGAATCCCGGGAAAGTTCCCCACAAAACGGAACACCGCCACTGCTAATACGTCCGCAGGTTTATCAAAGGCACGCCTTGCGACTGACGACAGGTAGTACGAGTACGATCCGAGTGCGACCGAGAGGTGAGGCATGGTACGGTACACCAGTAGTGACAGCCGCACTGACTATACATCCCGAAGGCCATTCATAATCAGACAGGTTGTGGAACATTAGTGTCCAATCACGTCGCAGGTTACATAGACCTTGGGCCGAGCGCTTACTGTTCACTCCGTTGATTGGTTAATTACGCCCACTACTACCGCGCCAGGAAACGACATTTCCTGAAGTAATACAGGTACCGTGATTGTGTTATCAAGAATGGTGTAATGAAATAATCACCAATGCCTTTGATGTTGAAATTACCTGGACGTTAAAAGGAGTATGGCTCATAAATGAATTTCCAAAATTGAAATTGTATCCGTGAAACTTCTCAGTTTTATCATGGAATCTTTACAAAGCACTCGAAACTGAAAGAGCAGACGAACATCTCACTCACGGTACATTTTGGCGCGAGAATAGGCTTAACCTCTACACGCACAAAAACAAATGTCCCAATGAAATTGTTAAGCGAGACACCTGCGACAGTTGAGCTGGAGGGATTAAGAGATGCGACTCCTCCGGGCAAAAGGTGCCACAGACCACCGTCAAGGTCAGACTGACTTCCCCGCCGAATATAGATCATATCCGCTTATTTCCCCCAACATTGTGAAGCCAAATAGAGTGGTGTGATATCGGTGCAGCAAGGAAGTTGCTGCTAGATTTCACAACATACCTGAATGAGCAAGCAGCAAGGAGGGTAGCATTCTATCCACGACAACATTAAACGAAACCAAGATCTCCAGTAAATCCCTGGCAATATTTATTTATATAATAATGTGTTTGTTTTTCAACAGACTCAAATTACAAAACACGCAATTCGAGACGTGTAAAGAAAAGAAATCAGACTTAAGAATTCTTCATTTGGGGGGGGGGGGGTGGGGGGGGGGGGAACGACTGAGATTTTCATGTAAACTTATATTCACCTCCATTTCTGGGGTTTTTTTTATGAACTCGGGAGGGGATTTTCTTTAGACTGATATTCTTAAAGAAATGATATGAAATTAGCCTTGCTTGCATTTTTTTCGTGGTTTTAGGCGCGCAAACACAAGAAACGACCTGTTGTAGTCACCGACCGCCACATTACCATTCCAATAACAATGGAATTGTAAACAAATCCTAATTTAACCACAATCTTTACCTTTTTGTTAATTAAATGTACTGAATTCTGTTGGGATTAAAATATTGTGTAACACACTTTATTTTTATTTTTTTACGATGGGAGTGGTTAGGCCTATACTGGTTCCTGTACCCATATGCATCGCCAGAATGATTTTCTAGAGAGGGGGTATTTCACATTATTTCCCAAGATCCTTGAACTTTCTCAAGCATATTCTCAATTTATCAATATTTCGAGGGGGGGGGGGCATTTGCCCACCCCACCCCATCCCATTGACACCCATTTTGTTAAATGTGAATTAAATTAACAGCAATATGACTTAGCCCCTCGTCAACATTTTCTTCTTCTCCTTTTCCCACTTTTTTTTTTTTTAATATTTGTTGGTTGCTTTCCGGGGGCAAGCGCCCCCCCCTTGCCCCCCCCCCCCCCTTGCGACGCTCATGCCTGTTCCATATTCCAATCGAGAGATTCAGAACCAGCGCGTAGCTATATAAATGAACATTGTGTGTACAGCGCGCAATGGCCAATGAACTATCCGAATTTTAAAAATACGAGATGGAATCAACCCAGCAACCAAGTTTGTGTCCATTTCTTTCTTTTTCGGTTTGACACGTGAAGAAGACGCCGTACAACCTTGCTGTAATTCTTTTGTCTGAGTCACATATAATTCGCATTGATTATATCAGCGCCGTCCCAATGGCGGACGACTTAGCCGCAAGGCTCTCGTCACTCCGCGCCTCCCAACCCGGCTAATTCCTCGGGATTTGTCCCTAACAAATTTGTTGTTTTTTGTCTCCGTTCCAGAGGTTGCTTTTCACACGGGCGGATTTGAAACAAACGACCATGAAAACAAATATTTGTCCTGTCATATCAGGGAAAATCTGAAGGGCGTGGACTCTGTCACGTCCTACCAAAAGAATTTTGTGGCGCAAGACATTTGAAATTAAGGAGTTTTTTTTAAAGGGTTTTATTCTGTATCATTCCAAACTTGGGACGTAGACATGACCCAAACAATTGCTGCTGGGATGCTGTTTGATGTAGATCTGGGTTGTGAAGTAATCTAAAAGAAAAAGGCTCAATTGTCATGTATCTCTCATTTCGTCAGAAAAACCGCCTTTGCCTTTAAAGTTGGTGTATACGTGCTTTTTGGGTGTGGCACCTTGAAAATAGATTTTCAAACTGAATTGATAATTTTCGAGCATTACATAAGTTATGAGCTTTCCAATGAGACATCGCACGAACAAATCAGCTTACGACAAGTAATCAGTTAATTAATTTCAATTTTTGAATTAAGAGCGGGATGCTCTTAAACCGTTCTGAATAGTGTGCGCAATTTCGGAACTGGAGCGCGCCATTTAAAACCACTTTTTGAAACTGTATAAAGGCCTCCAAAACTAAACAAGCACATTTATTTATTCCTTTCAATTTTGTTCGGAAAAGAAAATCAAATTTTGAAAAAAGCACGTATATACCAACTTAGAGAGGAATTTTGTTTTGTTACCTGAAAAAAATCAGTGTTTGGTGTTTTCCCTTCACTGACGTAATTATATATCAACGCAGTTTTACGAGGGCATGTTAACCCACGACCATGTGACTGAGAAAAAAACAATGATTCTCTTACCTCTTGACATCATGACGTTGGTGTACGGGTTGCCGTTTTTCGTCCGGATATTGGAGCAGTTCCATCGCTGGTCCCTCATCTGGTTACCGCACTCGTCCACGGAGATCCGTATGCCGCTGATGGCCGAGGCGACCACGTCCGGGGCCCGTCGGCACTGCTGCAGCTGCTTACGGGTCAGTCCGGGGAAGGACCGGCAGATAGTACGAGACGACCGGGAAAGCTCGCCGTTTGCTCCCTTGCTGACACTGCCGTCATCGGAGCTAGCCCCGGCCCGGTTATCGCCAAGCGACTGCATGGACATGTCGTTGCTGGTATAAAGAGCGCCAACTCCGTTCCCATTTTGTCTGCAGGTGGGAGAAAATGTGATTAATGTTTTTCTTCCTACCATTTTACAATTATTTTTGTCCTCAAGCACTTAATGTTATGGGCAGAGCCTTATAAAGTACATCTCCTTAAAACGGAAAAATCGTATATCTTTTCTTTTGAAAAATGTTAGATGAACAACCGATTACTATATTGTTGATAACTCCATACAAATTCACATTCTGAAAACATACGAGAACAAGATAAGTGGGGCTTGTATGTTTGTTATATTATTTCCTAATTTAATAGGTGCTGTGGTGGTGGTTTTTTTTTTTCAGATGAACATTTCCTCGAGAATTTTTCACCATTTAGAGAAACTCACAAAAACTTCAAACTGATAACTCCGAACGTCTTCAAAAATGACCCCAATTTAAAACAAACTCTTCCTCTTACTTAATTCTTAATTATTTAATTAATCTTTAATTTGAACTTAAGTCGAATTCTAGGATGCTTATGTAAATGCTTTGTAGGCCTATACATTTGTAATTTTTATCGTACTTTTTGTAAACCAACCTATTTAAGTCTTTGACTTTTTAGTTTGTGGTGTTTTTTTATCGAATATACCAGAATTGAATTGAAATTGAATTGAATTGAAAAATGGAACACTCCCCCATCAAAACCAGTTTAGTCCGACCTCCCTCACCAAAGTGCATCGGCCGCTCTTCATAATCACATATTTGTGCATGACTATAGGCCCTGTAGCTGCGAAATGGTTGGTTCTTCCCATGATAACGCGCTTAAAAAAAAGGTTTAGCTATTAGATGCATGGGCACAGGTGGGGTTTTTTTTTGGGGGGGGGAGTTTTCTCAAGGCAGGGTAAATTTCTACTTTGGACGAGAATTTCAGCATATTTCGATGCCAAAAAGGGTTTGGCAATAATCTTTCCTAGAACAGGCTGTTGTTATTTCCGTATAAAACGAATATCATGGTTTAATATCGTAACTTCACGACCTGAATACTCTACTAGTACTTGATGACTATTTTAACCACGACAATTCTACTATAAAAATTTCAAAACCAACAAAAATTGTATTGTATTTTTCATTCATATATTAGTCATCTTTTTGTTTTTCATTTATTTACAGTAGGCCTATATTGTATATGTGGATGGAGTAGCAACCAGAAACGTCTGTGTGGATTCAGTTCGACGCATTCAATGCGTGATAAATCGAAAAGGACTGTGACAGCGTACTGGATTTCCGTTGAAGTCTTCAAATTACCACAAATGCCAAAAACTTCCCCCTTCGAAATTTGGCGGGACTATTTGTTGGAGACTTGAAAATGTTCATTTCGGAAACTACCGAAATATCAAAACGTTTATAACCTAACATAAGCATAACATAAGCATACACACAAAGTATTACTTTAAGAATTTGTTTGGCCTCATCCTCTCTATTTAATAACTTTCTTGAAAATACTCAAATTGACACTTCGTGTTAGTTTCCATTCAAATCTAAAGGCAAAAAAGGAAAGGTTGAAATCAACGTATTAACCCGATTAGGGTTAAACACAGAGTAACCGCATTACTTTGCCCAAACCACATCCCCTGTCCTAACGGTCCAAAAGATGTGCCGGTAATAATATACGGAAACACTCCTTAGGCCTATAGGCCTACATCTAATAGGGTAAAAGTACATTTGCCGCCATAGGCTGTCAAAGGTTTCGTGGGTTGTCTATGGAGCAAATACGGGTGTGAGAAGTATTGTACATAGAGGTGTGCCGGAATACTTCCTGGATTTGGGTGATTAAGATGGGTTCCTGTGATGTTTGGTATACTCTCTAATGACCAAAGAGGCGATCAATCTAATTTTAGATTGAAGTAAAAAAGAATCAGTTCAGTCAGAATTTTGATTGAACCAATTTCACTCTAAATCATTTCGTCCCCGGTTTCAGTGTCATGGATTGAATTTTCACTCGGAAAGAAGGAATGTTCACTATTTCAGAATAAGAAAGTATAGTTGGGGGTTACAGTTGATTAAGACTCTAGGAGAGCGTGCGTGGACATTGTACAAGTCTATATAGCTACAGAAACATCACTCTCTTTCCTTTGTTTTAATTGTACATTTAAGTGAACCTGCTCCTTCATTTTTGTCGATTATGACAACAAATAGAAAGCTCATTACTTTTTAATTATTGAAAAAGGTTTCAGTGCAATATGAATTCTGCCGAAATCCGTTTTCGAAATTGTTTATATAAGGCCACGTCATGCGGTTCGAATTTGACGTTTTGCAACTTTGGCAGCTAAATTCGCCGGAGTTGAAATATGCTCATTGTTTTGCAGTGCGAAAACTTGCCATGACGTCACAAATTCGCGTTCGCTTTCACTTTCACACGGAGTATGAACCGGTCTTTGTACGGTGATTTTCAGGGATGTTGATGTCTATATGCTATAACCATCGCTTTCGAACATTGGGAGACAAAGAACGGAACATTTCATCAGATTATTGGTACAAAAATTTAGAGATTTTGTCACAATGCATGTATTTTGACGAAATCCTTTATACTTGGCAAACACATGTCTACTGCTTTTCATGGTTTAAGTTAGTTTATTGTTCAAGTTACACTGTCCTGTCTTGGGTTTCATTCATTATTGAGTCCGAGTATAATTCTCATATAATACATAGATACCTTTTGATATGGTGCAGTTCGATCTGTTTTGTGCTAACAAAAAAAAAAACCGCAGTAGCTGGCCAGCGGACGTTTTCAAAACGAAAAGCAACGTTTTATTTTCCACAAAGAAAAAATGGTGTTTGTAGACTCTACGAGCTAAAGTATTAAACGTCATATTTTCACAAATACATATTTACCACATGATGCCCTCCTATATTGTAGTTAACATTATAGTAAAACATTACATAACTAGAAAGCACTCAGAGAGCGCAAACCTCCTCCAAGGCTAAACAATTCCCCGCCTTATTGTCAGCACACCCAAAAGAAATACTCGCGTAAATGGTGAAGAATCCTTTTAAAAATCCTGGTTCCAGACCCAGGTCCGGGTCACTTCCAAAATCTAATCGAGTTGTACTTGTACCGAGGACCACCCCAAAAAAAATTCATGCAAATCCGTCCATAACTTTTTGAGTTATCTTGTTAACAGACAAACCAACCAACCAACCAACCAACTAACCAAATACGATAAAAACATAACCTCCTTGGAGGAGGTAATATAATAAACGATTTTCATAATTGCATCCAGACCGAGGCTATCAGAGCTAGGCGATAGCAAAACACTGGGGGACATTGCCTTTTTTTTAAAATCATCTACAAAGGATAGCGCTGGAACCTCGGTTTTGATGCTTATTTGAAACGCGAAATTATGGTATTAGGGGGGTTAGTGGCAAAACCAATACATTTTTAGCTTTATACATCCATTTTTCTTTTGAAAATTATCATTTCTAATGAGGCTTCGACACGTGTATAATTATGCCCATAAAGCTTTCAATTCGAGTCGATTTTGATACACTTAGGCTAACAGTTTACAAAAGTGCAAAATGCTGACCGCTTACGACTGAAGTATTGTAAGATTTTTATGTATATATCGTATATGCTACCATCGTCGTATGTAATAAGACATTATTATCTTCGTGATGAAAGGTTAGACTTACAAAAAAAACGACTGTATTTCAAGATAATTACTTGCTTGTTTAAATTGTGGCTTTGTCACTTGAATTATGATTGTACTTTATTTATCCACTTTTAATTCAATTGTCTCACATTGGTTTTTTTCTGGGCTCCATACTAATTCCAGTAAGTTGCAGTTATTATCTGAAATACAACTTCCCGTGTTAAAGTTTCAATACTTCCTACTGCACGCTGCCAACTACATGACCAATACCCTCCCCAATTGGGAAAACACGAGTAGAACATAGCTGTTGCGATCCTACACACAATAATTAGGCCTTGTTTGTCAAAAGGCGGGTGGCATATCAAAATACTGTAACATGGCAATAGTTGTAGCCTTGTTTTTATGGCACGTGGAGCGTTGCTCTAGGGACACTATCCCTCCCCATGGCTCGTGTCCCTCGAACTTGTTTTCCTCTAGGAAAACATCTACTTTCACCGAGGCCAAGAAACACCCTGTCACAGTGATTTTTTTCAATGGCTTAATATTACATTTCTGTGAGAATACCTCTGACAGTTTTGCCGCAAAATAGGACAAGAACAGGAGGTATAGGAAATGCCATAATCAGCCAATGGGGTTTCCCCATAGCGGTGGGCAACCATAGGTTATAAAGGGCCTACCTTAGCGTGCAGAGGCTCATCAAGATAAGAAGCGCACACCTCAATACGCCCGGACAGCACATGCCTAGCGTGGAGATAGCGCTGTCTCCCCCCGGTGAATCAAGACGAAACTCCCGATTACGTCAACTGGAATATCCGCTCAGAGAGATGGTCTCTTGTAACAGGTTCCGCAGTCGTCTTGGGTTTTGTCACAAAATGTGAAGCAGTTAAAAAAGAAAAACACCCCCACAATTTTTTTGTTCTGTTTAAAGTTGCAGAGTTAGTGATAGCCGGGAAGGTCTTTTTTATACGATGTCCCAATCCACTCAATTCCGGTGAGTTATGTTCTATTTCTCGTGAAGTAGTTATTTCGTAGACGTTTTTATGTGACAAGTGATGCTTTCCCGGCGGCACTGGTATTTCCGTATACGACTTGCGGAGTGGACACTGGCAGAACCACATTCAATGGGAAAAGTCAAGTCGACAGGCCAATTTGTTGGGGTTTTTTGTCCTTCTCTCGATAAAGAATTGGTGAGTTTAAAAACCGCAAACTCGTGGGAGTAACTCAACCCTCCCCAAATCTTGAAGGAAAGTGTTTCAATTCCCGCCAATCGCAGGATGGAGTATACTGTGAACGGTGGAAGTTGGTCTTAACGCTGATGACAGTCTTGTCAACCAATGATGCGGGCCGAGGGTTGATGCCGGCCGGTCAGGTGAGGCAGGGGTGTGAAGAGACGACAAGCTGTGACAAAGTGACGTGAGTGAAAAGACCTACAAAAATGGTCACTTCATGGAAACTCCAGGAGAATGACCGCAGTAATGTGGGTCATTGATACCCTCTCACCAGGGTTCACGATCAAAATGATCTTCTGTGGACATCCAAACTCTAATCTCGTACAATCGTCTCAGATCACAGTTTCGCAGCCGACGAACGAATAGTTGAGATGGGCAGCTTTACCACCTACCTCCAAGCTACGGACTCGTGCTGGTGGTTGGCGATTTCCTCTTGCTAATGTTCCGTTTCCTCTGTGGAACCGGCGAGTGTGATTGGCACTTTTATCTGTTGGAGTTTAGAGGGTCGCAAGGGCGAGTTTCTCCCTCGGCCCACACGCCGGGCGTAGCGATGCAGCCCCGGGGCTCGTTCAGCCTGTACCACCGCCGGCCAGCATGGGAGCTTGTTCTCCGGGCGAAGAATCCATTTCAAAAAATAATTCCCTGGAAGGTGAAGCGCACCATCGCCAAAAAAAAATTAAACCAACAAAAAAATGCCCCTGCTGAAAGTAGCGCCGGGATGTTATTTTCCAAGCACAGCTGGGTGTCTAATGAAGAGAGTCAAGGTAGACACAGACAGGCCTCCTAGCTGTTGCCAGCAGAAATTTACCAACATTTGTTTTGGCTGTTTGCCCCTTGCGGCGTCCTAAATGATCTTGATGATGAGTTGCAACAGTAGACAAGCTCACGGCCGGGAAGCATGCCTCCACTTTACCGAAGAAAGTGCAGTGCCAACCTGGCACTATAGTAATAGCAGTCACACGTGGTTGCGAGGCGAAACCCTCATTTGACCAATTTAACTCGACAGATCCCGCCACGAGGAGAAATTCAATGTACAAGCCACCAGCACCGCAGATTAAATCCGTTTAATTAGGTGAAAAAACGCCACCTTGAAGTGAACAGTCGGCAGCTTCTACAAAATCTCTCCCAGATCATTTGATGTTCCCCGCGATGGCCTTTTTACAGCCGCGCTTACAATCATAGCGAACCACCTCTTTTGTTGTAGCCCTTTCTTGTAGGCAAAGCGTCCACCTTTTTGTGTGTTCAATCGAAGATGGGGGCATTGCTGATATGGTTGTGTTGAAGAGCTGAGTTTGTTAGCGCTTGTCCGTTGATGAGTCAGAGCGCTCATAGCCTGTGTGTCGCTTCCCCGGCGTCCTATCCATGTGAACTGTGGTCTCTATCACTCACGATAACAACAATTTCAAATTGACATCTTGCACAAATACCCCGAAGTTGAAGATCGCGTTCCCACTCCTAAACCCGCTGTCCCACCTAATGACGTAATCAGCTACGCATCCATGGGGATTCCCCTGTACACTTGGTAGTCTTGACGGAGTACTAATGGGAAACAAAATTTATATCATTCCCGAGTTTACGGGAAAAGTCGTTTGTTAATGTCTCTTTATAAGAAAAACCTTTCCTTAGGATTGCACAGGGTTCACTCTTAAGTGGATTCCTAACTTGTTATACCTCAACTTTTTCCGTAAGTTTAGTTGATTTCGACACCCTCGTGTTTATCCCAAAACATTCTCGTTGGTTGTTTGACCGTACACGTGGGTTGTTTCCACATGTTGCATGCCACTCATTTCTCCACCTGCCGTGCGAGTTTAAAGGATTTAAGTTGGTGGATTATTCCATTAAGAAAACCATATCATCCAAATCGCACAGGATACATCTGAGCGGGGAAGGTGTCATGATTCTTGTGCAATGAACGGCGGTGGGTCCTCGCTAGGAAAATATCGCCCAATAATTGTTTACCCTCCATTTGTTTAAAATCATAGATTCATGAAATCTCTGGTCAAAGTCTAAGGGATTAAAAGAGACTTTTAGAAGGGACTTTTTCATTTAATGTTTTGAAGTTTGAATACTGGATTGAAGAATAAGGGAAAATCTTACAGAAACTGACAGATCTTTCGCTTGAGGTAACTGCAAATAATATTGGTGTTTTATTGTATAAACGTCATAAAAAGGAAACATTTTACAACTGTTTTCTTAGTTAGTCATGCGATTAGTTATTTGCAAGTGACATAATTTTATGCGATAACCATGATATAATTTACTGCCTTCTCTGACCTATGATTATCAATTTGTGAGACGGAAGTTGCAATTTTTAGACATTATTGGCACGAACGGATATTACTTGGCAATATAACGAGGTGCAGTTATTGAATTAAAAAAAACCTCGGTGCAGCGATGTGTGCGTTTAGGGGGGAAAACAGACACGAAGCGGTATGTCGCACGGTTATTGGGACGGTAGGTAGTAGGGGCATGTGGGGACATGTACGTCATGCAGGCTACTTTGAGTTGGAACCCTTACCCCTGACGCACGCCTACTCGGAAAACCCAAGGATGTCATCACAGGACTGCAAAGGGAAGAGGACTTAGAATCATACTCCCGCAGGGGGACATCCCCCCCCCCCCCCCCAACGCACACAATTTACGAAATCATGAATCCCTCTCTTCTACCATGCCGTGCACACTGTTGGATCCACTACAGGGTGGTGCAAAAAGAAGGAAACCCAAAAATTGACAGGAATTTTAACGTACCTACTTAACTTTATGAATAAAATATTTATAATGTAGTAAAATATAGCTTTTCAACCATACGTGGTGAAAAAAAAATCTTTTAAAAAATCGCAAGAGCAGTGTTATTATATTAATTTGAATACACCTTACCAAAATCACTGTTGTCCACGTGTAAGTCTAGTGTAGTGTTTTTGTCTTCAAATCAAGCTCCGGAGCTCAGTCAAGCAGATGGAATAAAGCCGTCCTTAGACAAACACGCTTGCCACATGACATTTTTTTAAAACTATATAGCCTTCCATATCTCAAAGACAAAATACGCATTTGCAATCATTTTTTCGTCACTTATGTTTAAAGATCAATATTTTAATACCATTAAATTTAATTTTTGAAATATGCTCAATAAGTAGGTGAAAATTGCTGTCAAAAGTGGGTTTGCCCCACCCTGTATGACAAACGAAGTCTTGCGTGCATACTTCATTCGGTGATTTAATGGTCTAAATGCCGCAGGTCGCGGGCCCGAATCCCCGAATTTTTTGCATTTTCGTTTCTTTTCCCTTACAGTGAAATTTCTTTCTTTAATTTTGTTTAAACGGGTTCTGACGGATGAAATATGATAAATTCACCTCCCCCCTCTTTCATGGCTCTGGAGGATTTTTTTAAAGGGAAGTTAAGTCCGAGCACCGTACATTTTACCAACTGACGCATGCGCATTGTGATCATTGACCATACTTGGTTGCAGAAAAAATAATTATCTCCAAGTGTCCTGGTGACCTCTCATTTCTTTGAGCTGTCATTGGTCAGGTCAGTAAGCTATCCACAATGCATTGCGAAGTCTCCATTTCCTCCACGAAGTATTTGAGGAGATAAGCGGTCACCAGTGGCGAAGGGTCCAGACCAGTAAATAGGCCCGACATTGCCTACGCCTGCCAAATCACGATTGCATGACCTTCAAATTCTCCGGTATTAGGAGCATTTTGAGGGCCGTGAACTTGAGTATTTGTAAAAAAAAAAAAAAAAAAAAAAAAGGTGGACGCCGTGCAGAGGACTGCGAGCTCGTATTAGTGTGAAAATAATGTTGATGAAATTAGGCCCTAAAATAGCTCTACTTTGCAATGGAACGTAGGCGTCCGTTTTCAAAAAGGCGATGGGCTTCATGCCTGCTTTAAGGGGTGATCATAATTATTTGGATGGAATTTTTCCCAGAAGTCATCGGATAACCCCTCAAACATTGAACAGAAAATGAAAGATGATGAAATATGCTTTGATTTGATGTGTGTCACAAACACCTTGGAGAGTTGTGAGTATTTTTTATAATTTTGGGAAGTGCACGTAATTATCACTGAGGTCTGTTGCGGTCTATATACTGGTAAACCTAAAGGGTGACCGTGGTAGGCACGAGTGCATTCTAAACACAACTAGACTCAAAATGGCGGATTAATGTGGACAGCCATTTTAAGTTTTATATTGGCCAATCCAATGCAACGATGACGTAGGGTAAACCTAATTGAAGTATCTACACGCGTACTGTACTAGTGCATGAGCGTGCAGGAGAAGTAGGCCAATCAAACTAAAGGGGAGGCGGCACCCAACTCGCCTAGCAGCCAATAAGATATCAGCAGCACGAGGTCGTTACCTGTCCTCGTATACACGTATGCTATGGGATCAGGTGTCCTGTCCAGCATGAGTGAAACTTTTGCTTGTTGACGACGCATGCGTGGACTATAATGACCCCTGTGCATGTATATTGTGGGAAACGGTGTGGCCCCTCCCCCTTTCGTTATAGGCCCTTCGACGAATCCAGAAAGCATCGTGCCAGCTAGAGTAATTTTTATTCCCAGGACGTTGGGGTGAGTCATGAATAATTCAGTAGTTTCGATCGGGCCAGTATGTTTATTCATTAGAACAGAACAATGATATCAAGAGCATTGTTGTTATTTAGTCAACCAGTTACATTAACGCATTTTAAAGAACGGTTGTCGTCGAGCCACCACACGGTAGCGTGATGAGCTATGGATACAAAAATCCCTGGTTTGAATCCATGTCGTCGCTGCTCATTTTCATCGACTATTTTTCTTCTCTAAACTTATCGTTGAGATAATATAATTTAAGGGAAAAAGAGAACGAGAACCTAAGTATCTTGCCATGATCCAAAAGAAAAACTAAATTATGCATGACTTGGCCCCAACCCTCCTAGGGAAAAAAATACGTTGCCAGCTATGTTATGCAAAAGCTACTTCCGACTTTTTCGCCATTGAAAGGGGCCTCCGTGTTAGAAAAGATAGCGTGCCCAGATTGGATGTAATTATAATGTAACTTTCTGGTGCCGCTGGGAACTACAGCGAGATACTTCCTTCATCCGGTTGTTCTCTTTGGTCATTGACGGCAGTGGCGTCGCCAAGGGGGGGGGGGGGGGGGGGGGGGCCAGGGGGGGGGGGGGGACGTGCCCCCCCTGGAAAACCTAGTGCCCCCCGAGTGCCCCCCATCAAATGCTGGTGCCCCCCCCCCTATCCTCTGCAAAATTCTGCGCGTTGTTAAAATCATTACCTCAAAAATAGCAATTTCTGGAGATATCTTCAGATCGAATTTAGCATCAAATGTGGCACCATTTTGCATCTAGCCCATCCTCCGTATGCGAAAATTTTCCAAAGGGGAGGGGGGTACACCCCCTCCCCTTAGACGCCTCCCCCAGGACGGCGATCCGTATCCACCTAAGTGCCCCCCATCAAATGCTGGTGCCCCCCTATCCTCTGCAAAATTCTGCGCGTTGTTAAAATCATTACCTCAAAAATAGCAATTTCTGGAGATATCTTCAGATCGAATTTAGCATCAAATGTGGCACCATTTTGCATCTAGCCCATCCTCCGTATGCGAAAATTTTCCAAAGGGGAGGAGGGTACACCCCCTCCCCTTAAACCCCTCCCCCAGGACGGCGATCCGTATCCACCTAAGTGCCCCCCCCCCCCATCAAATGCTGGTGCCCCCCCCCCCCTGTGCCCCCCCCCCCCGACTGAAAAGTCTGGTGACGCCACTGATTGACGGTTGTTCTCTAAAGGTCATTGACGAGTGACGTCTCAACTTGTATATCGGTCCAAAATTTCCTACCCGGCCAAATAACGATTTGCATGCCTTCAAGTTATTCGGGATACGAGCATTTTCTGGGCCATGAACTTGAGTGAAACATAAACTTTGTAAAAAAAAAAATTAAAAAAAAGAAGAAGGGTGGAGGCCGTGCACAGGACTGCGAGCTTGTATATCTGTGAAATTTAGACGAAATTGGGCCCTAAAAGCGCTCTATTTTGCAATGGAGCGTAGGTATCGTTTTTCAAAATGGCGATGGGCTTTAGGACTATTTTTAGGTGTGATCATCTTCGGACGGAAATTTCTCCCAAAAGTCACTAAATAAAAAATGAACTGGAAGATGACTAAATTAGCTTTGATTTGATGCTTGTCTTGAACACCTCATCAGAGAGTTGTGAGTATTTTTTTATAATTTTGGGAATTGCGCGTAATTACCACTAAGGTCTATGGCAGTTTATTTACTGATCAGCACCCTTGGAGGTGACTGGAGTGCAGTTTACTGATAGTTGGGTGGCCGGTTTGTGAGTGTTGAGAGTTTCTGATAAACTGGAAAAAACTTTGACCTTTATGTTGCACAAAGGTGGCCCTCTAACAGTCTTTACACGT